TTTTCTTCTGGCTGTTTGTATTCAGTCTAGACGATTCATTTTTATTTGTTGATGCTCTGCCTTAGCCTGGGGCAACCATGGTGTGGTGGAAAGAGCACTAGAATTGGAGTCAGGAAAGCTGGTTTAAATTCTGGCTTGACCATTTACTGGCTGTGCATAAATTCGGGCATGTTATTTACCTTCTCTGAGCCTCCTACTTCCCATCTGCCAAGCAGAAATAATGAGCCCCATCTCCAGGGTGGCTAAAAGGAGGAAACAGTGCCTGGCATTGACCAACAGGCCTTTGTCCCTAATCCCTACCACCTACTCTGAGTCCCCTCCTTGCCCAGCCCTGTTCACGTCTCTACCTGTCAGCCCCTCCACCAACCACCCCCACCATTGCTGGCCTCACTCACCTCCACAGCCTTGGTATGAAACCCTCAGTCACCAGGCCTCAGTTTTGCAGTCACTTGAAAAACGTGAACTGAGGATGAATTATGTTCCAGGCACTGTTCTAGGTGCTGGAGGTACAATGATGAACAAAACAGACAAAAGTCTCTGCCCTCGAGTGGCCTGCATTCCAGTGGGAGTGGCGGGGGGTCAGGGGGGAGGCAGACAAAAAAGAAAGTAAATTTTAGAGCCATGTGGTCCAAAATGGCAGCCACTAGCCACATGTGTATATTGAGCCCTTGAAATGTGGCTGTTCCCAACTGCAGTGTGTGATAAGAACAAAATACACAGCAGATTCAGAGATTTTGTACCACACAAAAGTGAAATCTCTCCTTAATAATTTTTATATTGATTAAATGTTGGAATGGTATTTTTAGATATGTTGGGGTTAAGTAAAATATATTATTAAAATTAATTTCTCCTGGGGGTGCCTGTGGCTCAGTCAGTTGAGTGTCTGACTCTTGATTTCGGCTCAGGACATGTCCTCGTGGGTTCGAGCCCCACATCGGGCTCTAAGCTGCCAGTGCAGAGCCTGCTTAGGATTCTCTCTGCCCCTCCCCTGCTCTCTCTCTCTCTCTCTCTCTCTCTCTCTCAAAAAATAAATGCCCTAAAAAAAGGGTTTGTTTTTTTTTAATTAATTTCACCTGTTTCTTTTTAACTTTTTAAATCTGGCTCCTAGAAAATTTCAAATTACACATGTGGCTCACGTTACAGTTCTACTAGACCTCTCAATTCTAGAGTAAGCGAGAAGATGGCACACGCTGTAAGAAAAAAGAAGGGATGGCGAAAAGGAGCATCCAAGTGCAGAGTGAGGAAGGGGTGTTGATTGTAAACGCAGTGGTCAAGGCAGCCTCACTGAAAAGGTAACAAGACTGAAAGTAAGAGAGCCACGCGTTGCCCCAACTAGAAGAGTGCGCCAAGAAAAGGGGACAGCCTGTGCAAAGACCCTGAGGTGGGAGAGGGCCTGCAGTCTGAGGAACAGAGAGGCCAGTGTAGTTGAGCTGAGTGACCAAGGCAGATCAGAAGTCAGAGAGGCAGGGAGGTAGAGGCTGCCCGGAGAGTACAGGGCCTTTTCAGGCTGTTGTGTAAACTTTTGTTTTTTCCTCTGAGTAAAATAGAGTCTCTGCAGAGTTTTGAGCCAAATGGTGACATGATTTGGCTCACAGTTTAACAGGCTCACTTTGGCTGTTGTGTGAGAATCAACTTAAGGGGGGGGGGGGGGGGGGGGCGGTGGCGAGAGGAGAATTGGGAGGCCAGTTTAGAAGGCTCCAGCAAATATTCACTTGGGATGACAAGAGCCTCTATCTCACGGGGCTATGGTGTGGATTCTGTGTTAACCAATGGAAAAGCCGGCAGGTGTGATGCGTGGCTGCTAGACCAAAAGCTCTGTGGGTCAGGGGCCTTGCCTTCTGTCTTCCTCACAATGTAGCCAGGAGAGGCAGAAGTCACCACCACCCCCTCAGCACCTCCCCCTAGAGGGGTGCAACAGCCTCCTTTGGGCCTCCCTGCCTCCTGCCTGACACACTGCTGGGGTGCTCCTTTTAAAACCCCTCAAATGCTGCTCATCCCCGGCAGGCCAGAGCCTCTTGGCATTGCAGACTCCCTGTAAGCTAACCCTGCCCCTCTCCTGTCAATATCCCTCACCCCTATGCACCTGAGTCCCCTCTCATACCTTTGCTCATACCATCCCTTCCGCCTGGACCATCTACTTCAACCTCCCCCCGTCCCTGTTCTGTCTTCTCCTGCCCATTCTTTATGGGGCTACCAAGAGGTCAGGTCAAGAGAAGACCCCAGATTCAGCCAAGCTGGATCAGATGCCCCCTCACGTTTTACGTATCTTTCTACTGACAGATTTATAGACTGTTTCTGTGACTCCTCGCCCACCCACCCTCACCAGATCGTTGAGGAGCAGAATCATCTTATTTGTAACAGCATCCGTGCCCCTAGCGTGGTAGCTGGCCCAGTAAATACGATTTGAAGGAATAAAAGAGAGGCAGGAGGAAATGGATTTGGTAGCATTGCTCATAAATGCCAAAGACCCAGACAGCTTCTGCCCTGGCCAGGACCGCAGGAGAGAAGGGCCTATGCAGCAAGACGGGGTGGGGAGTCCTCTCAGGAACAACCAGGGCTGTGAGTCCATTTCCCAAGGGCTTAAGGAACTCCCGGACACTCTATGTAAAACTTAACAACACCGTGGAGTCACAGGCCCCCGTGAGCACCCCCTTACCACTCCCTAGCCTACTGCAGCCAAGGCCACATAGCCAAACTCAGCCCTCTCCTGTCCCCCGGGGCAGTAAGCTCAGACTCATGGCCGGTTCCTCCCTCAACCAAAGGACCGGGCCTGGATCATGTGATTCCTGAAGGCAGCACTGCTCCCGGTAGGCCCTTGCTCCTGTCTAAGGTGCTGTCTCTCCGTCCCCCATTTCAGAGCCCATCCCCCCCACATCATGGCAGAGGGTGAACGGGGTCCCCCAGGACCAGCTCAGCCAGAATGGAAGCACCCTGGCCCCCAGCACAAGATGGGCCACGCCATCGCCTACCTACCTGGGACCCTTTTCCCAGACCTAAGACAAAATGCCACTTTCCCCAAGGGAGGAGGGAAAGGGGGCAGGAGGGAGTCCAGAACAAGGACCCAATGGAGAAGGAGAAACCAGGAGGAGCTTTGAGATCAGAATTAAATTCTTTAATACAAAATGCTTTTTTTAAGATATATCTGTATTTCTTTGTTGTTGTTTAAAAATAAATATGTACTACGGAATATCTCGAAAAACTGTACTAGAGACAAAGATGTGATGTTAATATCTTTTTCCCACAATTATTACGGATAAACAGTAGCACCAATAAATAAATGATAACAAATATTAAAATTAAAAAAGGAGAGAGATTTAGTATGTAGAATTCTCTATTTTTTCTTGTTTTGTTTTTACATATAAAAAACAGAATAGCCATGTCTATTTTATCAGAATCACATATATACATAAACATATATATATATATATATATATATACACAAAAACGCAAGTTGCCAAATATATATATAGTATGTAGATGTATATTGAAACCTTATTTCAAAGGAATGTGTGGTGGGGAACCAGGGAAAAGGGGAGGGCAGAGCTGAGTGTTAGCAAAATTAAATATCTGTTCAGGACAAGCTAGTGACTGTCCCCGATCAGGGAAAGAGAGATTGGAAACATGAATTTTATACACAAAGACCAGTACAAATAAGAGTGCAAGAGACAGCAAGAAGAGATACATCTCATAAATAGTTGAAATTAAATATTAACCAAGAATACTGAAAAAAACCCTACTCTTTAATTAAATTAACTGTTTTAATTTCTAATTAAAAAGGGGTATTAAATAAGTATCATATATAAAACACTTTCTCTTTTCTCTGCCTCCACGGTGGGCACGTGGATCCTGCCCTGTCTCTCTGTGCCGCGGGAAGGGTCGGTTCTGGGGACAGAGGAAGGTTAACCACTCACACACACACAGCCAGGTCTCCTGGGGGGGGACAGAACTAGTGGTTTCAATGGTCTGAGGACATCAGGCCCTCCTGGGCTGCACCCGGGAAGGGCAGGAGGCCCTTCCCTTGGAGGACAAGCTGTCACCAGGCGGCCCTTCCTCCATCAATGTCTCTCTTCTCTTCGCCAAGACATCTGTCAGCAGCCTCCTGGGCATCTCAGAGCAAGTGAAGACGAGGTGAAGGCTGCCCAGTCTCCTGAATCTTGCAGGCAGTGCCCCTGGGGGCAAGATGCCCGTGCAGCATGTGGAGAGGATCCCCAAAGTACAGCAGTGTCCTGAGGCTCCCCCAAACTCCTGGTCAGAGCCAGCGTCCTCGTCCCTGTACCTGTCGTCTGTCCATGTGACTCGGGGTAGAGGCTTAGGGCCAGGGCTGGGTTTGTCGGTGTTCCCAAAAGCAGGCCAAATTTGCCCCCATGCCCTGGCCATGCACGCTTCTGGGCAGGGGAGGGGACCCTGGCCTGCCCGAGAGGGACCAAAAGATCATGCCAGAGTCTCTCCTCCCATCCTCTTCCCTGTTGGGATCTGGGTGGGGACATTCTCCTCCCAACTCAAGTCCACAGCAGTCAAATACATCCAGTGAAGACACCAATAACATTAGCAATGTTAATTTAAAAAAAGAATATATATATTTTATATATATATAAAATATATATATTTATTTTTATATATATAATATATATATATATAAATGTATGTATGTGGGTGGGTGTGTCTACAGGAATCCCAGAAATAAAACTCTCTAATCTTCCGGGCTTGGTGATTTAGCAGCAAGAAAAATAAAATGGCGATCCAATTCCAAGAGGGACCGTGCTTGGTCACCTGCCCGGGAATGCTTCTGCCGGAGTCTCGGCCTCCGGACCCAAAGTGCTCTGCGCAGAGTCTCCTCTTCCTTCATTTCAGGTTTCTGGATTAAGGATTGTTCTGTTGACGATGATGGCGGTGTGGTGGTGGTCGTGGCGGCGGCGTGGTTTCTGTGTCAGTCGTTCTGTATCAGTCTTTCCTGGTGAGAGGTCTGGTTCCCGAAACCCTGAGGGAGGCTCCTTCTTCCAGCCCGGCTCACCGCCTGGGCTTGTCACATCTGCGGGAGATGGGAAACAGAGCCCGGGGGTTAGGGCCAGGCGAGGGGACGCGGCGGTGAGGCAGGCAGCCTCCCCTTCCTGGGAGCCCGAGTCCCTGCAGCAGAGAGGAAGGTGAAAGCATCGTTCTGCCCGGAGGAGCCCAGCGTTGAGGGGAGAGCCAGCCCCTGCCCACGGAGGCCCCACTGGAGCAGTAGCTACGTCCAGACTCCCATCTGCCCTCCAGAGCTTACAGTCTAGTCGAGACAAGACAAGGACGAGGGGACATTTCATCACAGGCAACAAATGAGCACGAACTAAAGAACAGTCCCTACTTGACATTTCAGAGCTAGTGGTGACCAAAGTTGGACCGAGTTAGTCAACAAAGAGTCCCCGCAGAAAGAGGGGTTTCAGCTCTGCCTCTATGGGGCTGGTTTGGACAACAGAGTGGGGAGAGGACCCCAAGCAAGGGGTGGGGCTGCCCCCAGGAAAGTGAGGCTCCCACGGGAGCGGGAGCCAGAGAGGTGGGGAGGGACACATCTCCCATCACCACGCCCTCCCCTCCAGGCTCCGGCTGCAGGCCCCATCTTTCTTGAGCATGTTGGCAGCAGCAGGCCTCAGGTACCGGGGTGCCCCTCCTTTCCCATGTGCTGTGTAATTGATGGTGGGGGAGAGACGATCATCGACTGTGAAAGCTCCTGTCTAAGCAGAGGGGACGCCAAGAACTTTCTCGTCATGCCCCGGGCTCCGGGGCTGATTATCTTTTACCTTCTCTACTATGAGAGATCACAACTGGCCCTGCCCTTCTGAGAGCCTGGGAATGAGGATCCTAAGCCTCCAATTTGGGGTACTGAAGCTCCCCCTTACAGGGGAGGGCTCTAGAGGTTGGGGTGACTTCTGTCAGCCCCCAGGTCACTTCAGACACCCCATCCCAGACATCTCTCTGCAGAATCATCACCACAGAAATCCTAAAATGACAAGTCCCTTATCTACCCTGAGGTCCCTGGAGCATGTGGAGACCCCTCATCAGACCCTGGAGGCGGGCAGAGCCCAAGCCCAGCACTCATATACACTTCCTGTCTTCACCCACTACCAAGGCAGACAGAAGTCTGCACAAACACCCCAGGGCCTCATCCCCAGCGCCCCCAGAACATCCACAAGCCACACGAACATGGGGGTGGGGGAGGCAAGCACATTCAAAGAACTTTGAAAATGGAACATCTGGACTAGCTGGGGGTACCCTGACCCTGCCCAGGAGTCCCCATAAGCTCCCCACTAGGTGAAGTTTACACTGGCCCAGAGGGCTCCCAGCCTTTGTGCCCAGGCCGGACTGGTACAAGCTCCATTCAAGGCATCAAGATTGCCAGCCAAACTGTCAGGGCTCTGCGCTCCTGACCTTCCCCCCTGAACTCAGTCATATATTCACTTGCACACTTGCCACTTTCTAGGTCCTCACTGTGGTCAAAGGACAGTGGTACAGAGGCCTGGAGGGTTACACAGGTGAATAAAAGCCAGGCCCTGCCATGAGGAGTTCACAATCTAATGTCAGGAAAGTGGGCACGCCAGGGCGCCTGGGTGGCTCAGTCGGTCAAAGCGTCCAACTTTGGCTCAGGTCATGATCTCATGGCTCACCAGTTCGAGCCCTGCCTCGGGCTCTGTGCTGACAGCTCGGAGCCTGGAGCCTGCTTCCGATTCTGCGTCTCCCTCTCTCTCTGCCCCTCCCCCGCTCGCACTCTCTCTTTCTCAGAAATAAATAAAAAAACATAAAAAAAAAAAAAAAAGGAAAGTGGGCACGTCCCACCCCCCACCCCATCCTGGGGGCATCTGGAAATATGTGGGTTGTTTGAGGCTGTCACCATGACTACTGGAGTATTAAAGGTATCTAGTGTCCCCAAATGTTAAATATCTTAACGACCCTAAACCAACAGCCAGAGCCTGTGCCCTCTGGGACCCCAGTCTAGGAGGGACTCAGACCTGCCCCTATGAGAGACACCGAGGGGATGAGATGCCCAGCGGTGCGGACTCCAGAGGGTGGTGGCAAGGCCCCCGAGAGTGTTTGCACTTGGTAGACGGCAGCGTCCCCCGCACCAGGAAGGGCCCTCGATACTAGCAGCAAAGGTAGTACTAACGACGTCAGGACCAACAGCCACCACAGGACACCTCAGGACCACAGGACACAACACTCAGCCTGCGTCCACACCATCACATTAAGCCACACCAGCCTGCCCCCTCAGGCAACCAGGGCCACCTCTGAACAGGCCCTCCCAGGCCAGGCCAGCACCTGCTGCCCACCACAGGGGCCTTGCGAGCAGAGAAGGCAGAGGTCAGTCACCAGGCAGGCAGCTAGAAGCCGAGCAAGCAGCTGGCCCCTCTCAGATGCGCCCGTGCGCACTCTCTCTCTCTTCCTTTCTCTCCCGGTCTCTGTGTGAAGCCCCTCTCTGACTCGCTCCCCCTCTGGGAACCAACCTGCAAGTACGTTCGTTTAACTCAAGCTGCCTCGCCTTGCAACGCGAGTCTGTGTTTTTGCAGGAACATTTACACGTCTGCGGATCTTGTACAAACAAATGCTTTCTCCGCTCTGAGCAAGGCCCACAGGGACTGCAAAAAGGCAAAAGGAAAGACATCTAAGCTAGAGCATCAGCAGAGAGAGAGAGAAAAAAAAAAAAAA